GCACCAACGTCTACGTGCGGCGAGACGCTGGTTCACGCACTTTTACCAGTTCGCGTCGGTAGGCGTATCATGTGCCTGCAGCCTCTGATATGGGCGAACCAAGGCGGTGGGACGTGATCGTGGGCTACCTGGGAAGGGTTGAATAAGCAAAGCTGTTGATTGGGGAAAATCGAAAGTTCCTGGCCTTGTCAATAAACCGAAATAGGTGAAAATTAAGGTATTTTTCGGCCTCCTGTCATCTAACATACTGACTTAAGGAGCTCAAACTTTTGCCATTTCAAAGCAACATGTACAGGCGGTAAGGAATTAAGTGCTAGGCCACTTAATGTAAAATGTAACGATTTTTAAACTGGAAACTTTTATCTAAGAAAACAAATTTTGCAGTAGAGGTAGCTAACGTGAATTTATGTTTCTGTTTTTAAATTATGACTGAATGAAATAAATAAATAACATAATAATATAATTATAATAATGTAATATATTTTATAATATAATAATAAATAACTCAATAAAATATGTATGTTAACTCTCAGCATCATTCATCTTACCCATGCACAACTTCGTGCCTGTTTGCGACGTACATAGAACGCTCATGTGCCAGGCATAATACGTCAAACACCGGACTGAAGCCGGCGGAAATACTAAGTGTGCCCTTTCATAGAAGTCTAATCTATTTATTTATCTATAGTTTCTCCACTATAACTACTGGGTGACATATGTGCCGTCTTATCGGAGGTAGTTATGCTCAAATGTCGACTTCCAAAACCATGGGTAATATTTAGTCTTACTCTGGCGCATACTTGGATAGAGGCACCCGCTAAAGCTCCTATGTGGTCAGCTAACTTAGGCTCCTGTTAATTAAAGAATCCACGTTCATGTGACTGCACAATAAACAGGGTGCTGTACTAGTACGGACAGTATCCGACTCATCGTACAAAATACCAAAGGACATTATGAACTGTATTTTAGATTGGATAGGCCAACTTATGTTGGCATGTATTATTGGCGCGCTTCCAGTCATTTAGCAGGCGTCACTCTGGTCATTCAGTGCGGTAAAAGGCATTTCATGCAACCAGTTTGCTTTTATCGGAAACATCCAATCGTTGCACATTTGACTGCATACGCTGTGCCCATTTATTGGGGCAATTTGTGGACAAACGACGCTTACAACATTTTCCTGAGTCTCCTTGATATGGAAAATGTAGTCTTTTTATTTCAAACCTCTAGGAGGTCCGCTTGTAATATAAAAACGATTTGATATATGAACGTTCCTGTTAATTCATATTTTATCCGACTTTGTGGCACGGATTTGTTAGACAGGCTGAGCAATAAATTTGCAGGTGTTGGTTGTAAATAATCAAAGCAGAATGGTCTTAAGTTCGTTTCTAATACACCTAGCTTGTACCGAATATGTAGTGATTAACCTAATTCAGTAGCTTACCACTGAGGCAACAAAGTCCTAAAACAAGTTCGACTGTAAGGTGAACTGTATTCTTTGCAACTGTCGCGGCTCAGCTTACATCAATTAGATGTCAGAATATTTCACCATTCGCGTTTGGCAGCTTGTGCGAGTCTCCAAGTTCAGGTTAATTAAATCTTATTGCATCCATTATTACATCGCCGTGTTGTTAGAATCGTATTTAAGGTCCCAGAAATTATTTTAATAATTTAGTACTTTCCCAGAAAAATAGCGCTCAATATATAAACACAGAAAGTAACTAACACTCCTTACTTATAGCTCTATGATTATGTCTCCGATAACGAATCCACGACGGAGCTCGAAGCGTCAGGCGAATAAAAGTATTGTCTCAGTGATCGAGTCGTCTACTTCTCAATTCCATTCTTACCTATCGTTTTTTCGGTGTGACAAATTTAGACATTTGTTACTTGCATATACTTTATATTTTATTGGGTTTCTTGATATTCCTCAAAAACTTTTGCTGGTTAGGAAGTCGGCTATTTCAACCAACCTGATGTCCAACTTACCGCTCTGGAGTTAGATTAATATATTTTGCTGTGTTCCGCCAAATTGTCGCTGTAGAAAAGTAAATACTCTAACGAAAAGAGACGTATTGTGGTTTATAAAATAATACAATGTGGTAAAGTTAAAGAAGTTTTTTTGAGAGAAACGGAAAATTCCGTAAAAACAGAAAAATGGGGCTACTTAGAAAAATTGAGTTGTAAGTGTAGAGGTAATCTGTTTGTACAAAAGCCGAGTGAATAAATTAGCACAAGTAAAATTACGATTAAAAATAGTGCGCACGTGAAATTTTCGGATATATATATATTTAAAAACTGCGCGTAATGTAAAATATCATATATTGCAGAATCAGAACAGCACTGGAACGCATAGAGCACATGGCACCCAAAATC